CATTCATTAGTGTCAGATCTTCCTGAACCTCAGAGCCCTTCCCCGCATCACACACACACACACACACACACACACACACACACACACACACACACACGCACACCCAGGAACAGAGCTCAGCCCCTCACCCCTGCAGGCTGGCTGGCCCTTTCCCAGGAAAAGCCCAGAAGTGGCCTCAGAGTAGCCAAAGAGGCCTGAGCACAGCAAACTTCCCAAATCTCAAAAACATAATGTTAAGAAAAAAATAAAAAAAGACAAGTTGCAGAAGGCTCTATAGGGCACTCTGCCATTAGCATAACGTTTTTAAAACATGCGAAAGCACACTATATATTGTTTATGGATACGGACATATGGAGTGAAAATATAAAGCTGTGGCGTAGGAAAGAGGCAGGCAGTCAGGAAAGTGGGTACCTTGGGGTGGGGGAGAGGAAATTAAGGAAGGTTATGGGGGGGTTCAATCATATTTGTAACATTTTATTTCTTCTGCTGTTACAGTATTTCAACTTTTTGAATGCCCAAAGTGACTCATTAAAAACAAAACAAAAAGCCTGGGATATTAGCTAAAAGCCCCCTGTCCCTGGAGATGGGGTGTCTGGGGAAGTGGCCTGGGCTCTTCACAAGCATCTCAGCGATTCATACCCTGGGCCAAGTCGACTAGCCAGCAGTCGTCTTGTTTCTAGCCTCTCCCTCTCTCTTTTTTTTCCCTTCTAAACCTGCGATTATGCCTTAGAAACACTTTGCAAAGAATACAGATGCCGGGAGCCCTGCCCCAAGTTTCTGCACCAGCATCTTTGGGGAGCTGGGCGCCTGGATTTTAAAAGCTTTGCAGCTGAGTCCCATGCACACCCAAGTCTGAGAGTAACCCCTATTTTGGGAGCTCCCTCATGCTGCTGACGTTAGCCAGGGACCCCTGTAGAAGGCCAAATCAATGATTTTAAACAAAGGACTGATTTTTAAAAATCTCGCGGCCTCTCAGTGTGCTGGGCTCAAGCCCCAGAGCCCTGCCCCGGGTCCCCAGCTGATGGGGAGACCTTGGGCAGGCGGCAAGCCTGAGACCTGGAATGCAGCCGGCCAGGGCCGCACCCTGCCCAAACCAGTTTAAACCAGCTGCGGGGATGGAGCCGTGGCGTGTCCCCACGAGCTCCCTCTGCCGTCCAAGCCCTGCTCAGAGCTGCTGCTCCAGCCTCCTGCTCCGGAGTCCTCCTCGGGTGCAGGCAGCAGGCTTCATCCCAGCTTGGGGTGGGGGTGCCAGTGGCCGCCAGGCCCTTAAGGACTCCAGGGGCCCTAGTAGCCTCCAGCTGGGCCTTGAGGTCACAAACCCTTCCACCACCCACTCCATTTGGTTTCTCCTCCTGCTGCAAAATGGTTGCTTGTCTGTGTCTTTTCAAGGTCAGTTCTTCCAGCTCAGTTCAGGCACATTAGGCTCTAGGTTCACAATGGAGCCCAAGCTTGGCTGCAGACTCCTGGGGAACTTCCAGAAAATACTGATGCCCAGATCCCACCCCAGAGGCTGATTGAATTGGTCTGAGATATGGGTTCGGATTGGTGAGGTTTAAAAGATTTTACAGGTGATTCTAACCTGCATTGTTCCTGTGCTTGCTTAACTCATCCTGTGGTCCCTTGGTCTCTACAACAGTCCCCATTGCTAAGGAGTCCTGAGCACTTACTATATGCCAGACACTGTTCTCAGATCCTCATATAGATGGCCTCATTGAATGTCACCCTGTGAGGGAGGCAGGCCCTGCTATGATGCCCATTTTACAGATGAAGAAACTGAGACAAGGAGAAGTTAAATTGCTCTCCCAGGATTATAACTAGTAAATGTGGAACTCAGATAATATGATTCTAGAACCCAAGTCCTTACCTGCTAATCACACCAAGCTGCCTCTGGCAAGATAGCCAGCCCCTTTCTGGTCTCTGTGGCCCCTCCCCAGTCCAGCCTGACCTGTTAGGAAAGCCCCACCCCCATCCCAGACCACCCTTTTCACGGCCCTCCCAAAGCATATTCTAGTCATCTCCCTTCTTGCTCATAATATTTCAGTGGCTCCCTAGTGCCCACCAAGTGAGTTCAAAGACCTGGCCCTAGCTTGCCAATCTTGTCTTTCGCAGCTTTTTTTTTTTCTTGAACCCTAAGTTGCAAATGGGGGCCCAAGGAGCAGGGCCAGGACTCAGGCAGGGCAAGAGAGGCACTTCGAATACAAACTGGAAGGGGCCTCGTGCTCAGGGTCGGCACCCAGGACTGAGGGTCTCCTTGTATTACGTGCCTGGGCTTCCCACTTGCCTCTCCCGAGTCCTGGTCCTGCCACGTGGCCTGCTGCTATAGACTGAATGTTTACATCCCCCCAAATTCATTGTTGGACCAAACCCCCAAGGTGATGGTATTAGGAGGCGAGGGCTCTGGGAGGAGATGAGGTCATCGGGTGGAGCCCTCATGAATGGGATTAGTGCTCTTATCAAAGAGGCCCCAGGAGAGCCCCTCCCCCCTTCTCCATGCCAGGACACAGGGAGAAGTCGGCTGTCTGCAACCTGTGAGTTCTCACCAGATACTGAATCTGCCAGTATCATGGTCTTGGACTTCCCAGCCTCCAGAACGGTCAAAAATAAATGTCTGTTTATAAGCCATGCGGCCTTGGGCATTTCTGCTACAGCAGCCTGAATGGACTAAGATGCCTGCAGACATGTCTGGTTTGGACAGCATCGTGGTTAAATATGTATATATCATTCAATGTGGTGGCCTTTTATGGTTCACATGGACATTCAAACTGGTGGCTTCTCTCAAAAAGAAAGGGGGCGATCAGGGCATCACGGGATTGCCCTGTGCCCTGGCAGCACTTGGCCAGTGAAGGAGCTGCTCACCTGACCCCGTCTTCCCCACCTGCGCCCTGTTGGTCCCTGAACGTGCCCGGTTTCGGACCCTGTGGTCCCCGAACATGTTCCTAGGTCTGCCGGGCTCCACAACCACGTCCGGCGTTTCTGGTCTGGGATGCCCCAGCCGCCCCTGAGCTGACGGCCCTCCCCGCCCTCCACCCAGCCTTCAAGGTCTCTCTTCAACAGCCCTTTTCTGACCCCCAAACAGATATGCCCGTTAAGCTTGCCTTCCGAGGCCTTCCACCTTCTGCTTAGTTGTAAGTTAACTGCCAGACAGGACATTCCTGGGGGACAAAGAATATGTCTTGTGCATGTTGAGGGGATTGCTGTCATTCCAGCAGTCTGCCTTTGCACATTGTAAGTCCTCAGTCAACACCTCTCTGTAAAATTTGAAGTCACTCTCCTGCTTAGAGTCTCCGTTTCCCCACTAGCGAAACAATTTAGAACACAACCCATCTCCCTAGAAGCATAGTGAACAACCAGGTTTTAAAAGCATTTTTCTATCACAGTTTTGAGATGATCGCTCTGTAGTACAGGAAACAGCAACAGGACTTCTGGCCATTCTCTCCCTGAAAAGGAAAGCTTGGAACTCTCCGTATGGTCATCTGACCAGTTTTTCTCTACTTTCCTTTCCACAACAGAGCGACAGAAAGGGCCTTGTAGCGTTGGCGGCAGGAGGCCAAGGGGTCAGGGTTCAGGCTGCTCCGCACATGGCAGTGTTTAGCTTTGGTCTTGGGAAGTGAGAGGAGAATCATGGTTTTAGAGGAAAGAGGAGTTTTTACCCCTTCCAACTACTGAAATGTGGGTCCCACGGTGTTTTCTCTGCTTCCGCCTAAACAGACGCTGGATGGAACATATTGCCCAACGCAAGGAGGTCTGGAGAGACAGGACTTAACTTAGAACTTTCTCATCAGCGCTCACAGCCCCCCTGAGCACTCCAGGCACACCCACCTACCACCCCTCATGCAAAACCGTTGGGGACAGATGAGTTTCAGAATGAGGACTCTGGGCTTGAGAATGCTAACACCTCCAGGGGGGACTGGGGGAGCATCCTGTTATCAGACTTCGTGTTACTCAGCAAAACGTGTGAATATCCACCTTACAGGAGCTGAAGAAAGGCCTTAAATCAACCTCATGTCAGTTCAGCTCAGGGGTTGCTGGCTGATGAATTTCTGTTGGACTGATAGGGGGTGAAAAAGCTAATAGTTTATAGCTTTCTGGATTTCAAAATTATGAAAACAGCAAGTATAGACTTGTTTTCCTATTTCACAGTTGGGGAAACTGAGGCCCAGGCCCACATGTATAATTGCTAAGTGGAGTTGAGCTTCGAACCTATTATATCACATTGAGATGGATGAGAAGATGCCAGAGGGTGTCAGAAAGTAGTTAAGTGCCCTAGTGAAATGTTATCCTTCAGACAATTTGGGACACTTGAATATATCTGTTTTCTTGCTTCAGGAAACTGTTTCTCTGTTCATTGGGATTTGAAGGCCCTTTCCTGTCCCTGGAGTACATGGTATGGCATTGTGTATACAGTAGGTGCTCCCTAAAGGAGATTCCGCTCTGTACGTATGCAGTAGGTGCTTCCTGAAGGACATAGGGCTCTATGTGTACACAGGGGTATTCCATAAAGAATCTTCTGCTTTATGTGAAACCTGCAGTCATAGCAGCAGCAAGCAAAAAGCTGAGGGGGGCGGGGGAGCCCTCTAGTTTTAATGATGGCAAAAAGCAAGCACAATGAAATTTAGTAAAAGAAAAAAACAGCATTTACCTTAATGAGGATGTGGGAAACCTTGTCTCCAGCAGTTCAAAGACAAACAGAGAATTTTAAAATTGACTTTGAGTCGATCTTAAGGCAATAAAATGACACACCTGCTAAAAAGCAAATGAGAATGAGGATGCTTTGACTAAAAAATACAGAATTCAGTACAAAGAGGTAAAAGTGAAATGTCCTCTGGTCCTGACGGCCCCTGCTGGGTACGGAAGGTAGCTTTGGCAGGGAGCCATGCATAGTGGCTAACTGCACAGGCTCTAGAGTCAAACTGTCTGGGTTCGAATTCTGACTTCCCACCCAAAAGCTGTGTGAGCTCAGCAGCTACTTAACTTCTCTGTGCCTGAAGTAATGAATGAATTATTATTTTATAACCTCAGAGTGTGAAAACACCTCTTACTATGATACGAAATTCAGAAGTCATAAAAGAAAAATTTAACTACAGAAAAACTAAAATTTCTGCTATAGCAAAAATTACTACAAGCATAGTCTAAAATAACTAGGGCCATAGAAAAAATTTTTATTTAGATTCAGTTACATGGATGTGTTATATTTGTCAAAATTCATTGAGCTGTACATCTAAAGTACATTTTCTTGAAATAAATTATACCTCAATAAAGTTGATTGTTGGAAAAAGCAATAGGACAAGCTGAGAAAAAAAATATTTGCCAACACACATCATAGTCAAAAGGTAATCTCCTCCATATAGAAAGGGTTTCTGGAAATTGATAAGAAAAATGTCATATGAGAAAACTATGTGAAAAGATAATTGGAAGAAAAGTACCTCATAATTTTTTTATTATTATTATTTTTTTAAGATTTTTTATTGGGGAATTGGGGGGATGGGAACAGTGCTGGGGAGTTGGGGGAAGGGGAACAGACAAGTTGCTGTCGTTTTGTTCTCCAGTCTAGTTGTGGAGGACGTTGCTTCACTGGCCCAAGTTGGCACCATCATTGTGCTCTTCCCGGGCGAGACAGATCAGTCACCGGCATCTGGACAGCCGCTAACGGCGGCGGCTGGCCACACACGGTAGCCCATGGCAACCTACTGCAGCAGGGGCTGCAGCCTGCACTGTAGCTGGCGACTCAGGGCAGCCCAGCTCCAGGTTGAGCTGTTGTTCAGCATCTTAGCTGTGGAGGGCAATGTCACTGGCCCTCATATGTGGGATCCAAACCGGGTCCCTCTCGCGTCCCAAGCCAGCTCTTAACCATCATGCCAATCGGCCGGTCCAAGAAGATACATTCTTTAACCACCAGATTGGTGAAAATTCACGGGATTGACAAGGCTGTGGGGAAATAGGGACTCCCACCCTTTGTTGTCCAGAATATAAACTGACAAACCCCCAAGGATGATAAAGCAGCAGTATCTATCAAAATTACAAATGCATATGTTTTTTGCTTCAGCAATTCCTTTTCTAGGCGTTTGCCTCAAAAATATGTTTCCACATATGCAAAATGACTTATGAATACAATTATTGATTGCCACATAGCTATAATGGCAAAAGAATTGATACAAACTCAAGGCCCATCATAGTGGACTGCTTAATGTGTTACGTTGGTTACCTATTATGGAGCTGTAAGAGTGGATGGGGATTCAATGCAATGTGACCTTCTGGGTTAGGTCCTGGAACAGAAAAAGGACATTAGTGGAAAACTGGTGAAATCCAAATAAAGTCTCAAGTTTAGTCAATAGTCATGTACTTTTATGGACTAAATGTTTGTGTCCCCTGCCCCCCAAATTCGTATGTTGAAGCCCTAACTCCTAGTGTGTATTTCAACATGGGGTCTCTAAGGGAGGGATTAAGGTCAAATGAGGTCTTAAGGGTGGGGCCCTGATCCTATAAGATTAGTGTCTTTAGTATCCTTATATGAAAAGATGTCAGAGCCCCCCCCTACACACACACACACAGAGCACATGTGAGGGTACAGCAAGAAGCCAGCCATCTATAGGCTGTAAGAGAGATCTCACCAGAAACCAACATGTCAGCACCGTGACCTTGGACTTCCAGCCTTCTGAACCACGAGAAAATAAATTCCTGTTGTTTAAGCCACTCAGCCTGTGGTACTTTGTATGGCAGCCCCAGCAGTCTAATTAATACGCGTACCAATGCTAATTTCTCAGTTTTGACAAATGTACCATGATTATGTAAGCGATGTTACCATCAGAGGAAGCTGGGTGGCATCTCACTATCTGTACAACTTTCCTGTAAATCTAAACTAATATCCAAAATTAAAAGTTTATAAAAAAAAAAGGAATGAGAAAAAAAATTAATGAGGAAGAATTTTATCTAGTGATATGGAAAGAGTACCAAGATATATGAAATTAGAAAAGCAAACGGTAGAACAGTGCTGCTATTTTTATATAATAAGAAGGGGGAAAATAATATATTTTCATCCTACCCTCTTTACATTTAAAAAAAAATCTATGGAGAGATAAGTAAGAAACTAATCATAATTATTACCCACTACAGAATGACAGGTGAATTGGGGACAAAAAAAGGAGAAAGTGGGTTTTTTTTGTTTGTTTTTTTTTTTGTTGTTTTTTTTTTAAAGATTTTTATTGGGGAATTGGGGGGATGGGAACAGAGCTGGGGAATCAGGGAAGGGGAACAGACAAGTTGCTGTCGTTTTGTTCTTCAGTCTAGTTGTGGAGGACACTGCTTCACTGGCCCAAGTTGGCACCATCATTGCGCTCTTCCCGGGTGAGGCAGATCAGTCGCCGGCTTCTGGACGGCCGCTCACGCTGGCTGCTGGCCACACACTGTAGCCCATGGCAACCCACTGCCACAGGGGCTGCAGCCCACGCCGTCGCCGGCGACTCAGGGCAGCCCAGCTCCAGGTTGAGCTGTTGTTCAGCATCTTAGCTGTGGAGGGCAGTGTCACTGGCCCTCATGTGGGATCCGAACCGGGGCCCTCTGGCGTCCCAAAGCCAGCTCAACCACCGCGTCACTCGGCCGGCCCAGAAAGTGTTTTTATGGTGCACTTTTTAAAAATGTTTTCTTCCTGTTTGAGCCACATACATTTATTTACCATTCGAATAACTATTTTGTAAAAAATAAAGAACAATTGGGGAGGAAGGAGACGATTTGCTGTATAGATATCAAAATGTATTTTAAAGCTTCAATAATCAAAACAGTATGAAATGGTTCCAAAATAGACAAATAGATCAACAAATCAGAATGAATAAACCCAAGACCATGTAAGAAATTAGTAAATGATAAAGGTGAAATCTCAATTCAATGAGAAAGTAGTATCTTATTCATTACATTGTTAGAATAATTAACGAAGCATTT